AGGGCACCTACACGTGCCTTGCTAAGAACTCCAAGACTCTACTGTCTGGCTCTGCCTCTGTGGTGGTCAAGCTGTCCGGTGAGTCAGCCCCAGCCTGATGACCAGATGCTCTCCACAGCAGGCCTTCGCTGACTGGACCACCATTTTCCCAGAAGAAAATTAGATTCCCAGCACATGCACTGAGCGGTTGGGACAAGGTGGCAGGCATATTGGATTGTCCCTCTCTTGTCTAGGTGCAAAAAGAGTCAGGCAAAATCCATCACATCAGAAAATAAATGGTGACTCATATCCTCTGCCTTGAGGTTAGAGTGAGTTACACGTGAGCCCCGTGTTCCCTTCTTGTGGGGGGGGCGGAGTGGGACACTGGGGTCCATGTCCTTCCATGTAATTATCCCTGTTGGTAGAAAAGGCGCAAACCCAGGACACACAAGCCTGACCTGCACACTCTCACACACCACAGATGGAAAACCAGAGGCAGGTGTCGGCTCCTGGAGAAATCCAGCCAGAGGCACTGTCTTCACATCCCTGTTCTACCTAAGTGTGTGGGGTGTGGGGGGAGGTGTTGGGCACTGAGAAACCTCAGGGAACACTGCTCATGCCCCAAGGATGGTGGCTTTGAATATCAGGTTCTCATCCAAAATCACAGTGTTTGAAAGGTGAAGGCAGGAGGATCTGGAGTTTGAGGCCATCATTGGACACAGACAGTTTGGAGTCAGCTTGGGCTACATGAGACCTTGTCTCAAAAGAAAAAAAAAAAGCATCAATAATTCTACCTGGGTTTCTTCTCAAGAGGCCATTGTCCCCTGGGGACAGTGGGAATCGTCCTCCCCCTCCTCCCTCCCTTCTTCCTCCACTAACAGGCTGGGTCTCATGAAAAGGGTGGGGATGAACCCCTCTTTCACGCAGAACAAAGATGGAAGCCCCAAAGGTAAGTGAGCCTCCTGTCTTACCTGTGAGGGGCCTTAGCTGGAGACAAGGTGGACCAGAGGACCTCGGGGACAACATGGGGGGTGTCCAGGGTCTGCAGGTATGTGTAGGGTGTACCTAATGCAACACCCCCAAGTTTGCTTCCTCCCAAGCTGCCAGAAATCGTGTGGCAGGTGCTGGGAGTGAGACAGAGGAGAGAGACATGACTGTTACCCTGCCTGGGAAGCAAGCTGATCTGATAGAGGAGGCACGGTCTTTCTCTGATCTCTGGGGAATCGGGGAGGGGAGCTGCCAGCCAAAGAGAAGAGGCAATACCTCACCCTTTCTGGTCTCCCAGGCACTGGTGGAAGAGACATAAAGCCCTCTAGTCAAAGAGAGGAGGCACAACCTGAAAGAATTTCCAGGTCATTAGGAGATGCTGCTTTACTTTAAAATTCATAGTTTGATGGGGGAGACGCAGGTCCCACTTTGGAAATACTTCACAATCTGATAGGGGAGTATGAGCTCGCCTACTTTCTATAGAAATTTTCTGATACAATTGAGATAATTGCTCCCAACTCTGGGGGGCGGGGTCCTCTAACTTGATCAGAGTGTTCCACTTTGATAATCCCCAATTTCTCGGTCTGATGGAGGAGACGGAGGCTCCCACCTTGGAGAAAATCTCTAACCAATGGGGTAGTCTTCCCAGCTTCTAGAGTCCCAAACTTGATTGGAAGGAAATCTAGACTTTCCCAATCTGATGGAGGAGACACAATCCACACCTTGTGAGGATTTTTAATGCAATACAGGATGCATGGCTTCTTCCCTCTAGAGGCTTCTGATCTGATGGAGGAATTGTCACCCCATATTCTCGGGTCTGCTACTTTCACAGAAAAGACACGCTATGGGAAGAGAAGTTCCAGACATCCGATGGGGGAGACACAGCCACATTTTCTGGGATTCTCAACCTGATAGGGGAGTTTGGAAGCTTCCACCCTGATGGAGGAGACATGGCCAGATTCTCTAGGGTCTCCCAGTTTCTTAAGAGGGACAGCCTGCACCGTCGCCCAAGGCTGAAATTTAGAAAGGGGAGATGTGTCCCTGGCAAGCACCACTGAGAGAGTCTATGTGATCATCCATGACGTCACCTCCATCCTTGGTCTCCCCAGCACCTCATGAGGAGCACTATCCCTGGAGGAGTTGGCCAAGGGAGGGGGAGGACTCCGCCCCACACCCAAGGCAGACCTGGCTGACAGTGGTGGTGGCTCTCTCTCCAGCTGCAGCTGTGGCCATGATGATTGTGCCTGTACCGACTAAACCAACGGAGGGCCAGGACGTGACCCTGACCGTCCAGGGCTACCCCAAGGACCTGCTAGTCTACGCCTGGTACCGTGGACCCGCTTCAGAGCCCAACCGATTGCTCAGTCAGCTGCCGTCAGGGAACTGGATCGCCGGCCCTGCACACACGGGCCGGGAGGTGGGCTTTGCCAATTGCTCACTGCTGGTGCAAAAGCTGAACCTCACGGACGCTGGGCGCTACACACTCAAGACCGTCACACTGCAGGGCAAGACTGACACACTGGAGGTGGAGCTACAGGTGGCCCGTGAGTGAGCGGCATGGGGGGGGGAGGGGACACAGTCCCACAGGTGGCCTTCTCCTCCCTCACAAGCCTGAGGGACATGTGCCTCTCCCATCTGACCTGAGTGTCCCCATATGTGGCACTTGCCTTGCCTCCCAAACGATGACGACCACCAAGGGTAGAGGGGCCTCCATCAGACTGAGGTCTCCTTGCCCATATAAGGTATATGTCAGATGGAAGGCTGTAAATAGGGGTGTCGTGTGAGGGTGGGCATCTTTTCTCTTCAGGTGAGTGAACACTAGACCACAGGGATCCAGTTCCTTCCACTACACTGGGGAGTTGGGGTGAATGCAGGTATTTACCTCCCTCATGAGACGTGCCATGAGGGCAAGCTGTTTCCACCTTATGTCACGAGAGCTCCCCCAACCTGAAATGCATGATGTGCGTTAGGATGCAGGCTGCCAGGTGTGTCTCCTCCGTCAGACAGGGTTCTCTGTTGGGAACGACCTCTCCCACATCAGGCTGGAGGCTTCCACAGTGGAGAACCATGTCTCTTTCATCAGACTCAAAGCTGTCTTCTCCATCAGATTGGAAAACTCCCAGAGTCAGGAAATCAGACTGGGAGCTCCCAGAGTCATGGACAGCATCTCCTCCATCAGACTAGGAGTTCCCAGATTTAGGAACTGCATCTCCTCCATCAGACTGGGAAACTCCCAGAGTCAGGAACTGTGTCTC